ACTTATCGGTTAAATTTTTTAAAATGATATAATTTTTTTTTGTTTTAGTATTTTGAAGTTGACCAATTGTTACTATAGGCAATTAATGATTATATATGATCTGCACCGTATTATTATTTTACAAGAGTATTTTGGTCAAAGTTTTGAATACTGATCCCAAATAGCAATATCAATAATTTCTTAGGAAGAGTAACTAATTACCACTGAACGGGAAGGGCTTTAACATTCAAGCTATATTTCTTTGCGGATCTCCTATTTCACTTACTAAAATTGGACCAATTATACAACTTTTTAAAAGTTATGTCCATCATCCAAATTACCTCAAAGAAAAATGGCTCTCTACTACTTAATAATAAAGTATAATTGATTAAATTATTATATAAACTATGCACACTATACTATGCGCGAAAAAAATCAGGGTTACTATAAATGGCACGTCTCCAAATTCACATAATCAGTAATAAACTGTCCAATTACATCATAATTGTAAATTATTTTTAAATTTCTCGCCATAGATGATATCATAAAATATATTAATATTAACCTAATTTTTTAGTTGTCACAATTTATTTTGAATTATCACAATTATCACAATGCGTTTTTTACCTAAAACTAGATTAGCATGTAATGTATTTTGATTATAAAATTTGAGATTAAAAAACTGTAAGTATAAAACAACTAAGATTTTAATTGAGATATTTATTACAACACATAATCAGTATTTATTTTTTTCCTTTTCTATAAAAAATAAATTATGGAATCTACAAATATTAACAACAACGACAACAGCATTAGTAGCAGTAGTAATAATAATAATAATAATAATAATAATAATAATAATAATAATAATAATAATAATAATAACAGTAATTGTAAAGATGAAGTATTATCTAAAGAATCTGTAAATATTATTATACCTAATTCAATAAATAAATCACCTTCGTCATCACTACCAATTATTATTAATGATCCAAAAAATTGGCCAAAAAAAAAGAAACTTCATGTTTTATTAATTATTGCATTTGCAAGTATATTAATTGGCATGGGTGGATCGTAAGTATTATATACTATCGCTGCTTCTATTATCATTAATAATTGATTAATTGATTGGTTGATATTTTATAGAATATTGTATCCTGCCTTAATAAGCATCCAAAATGATTTAGAAACCACTGAATTTCTTACAAATTTTCTAAGTTTGTGGAATCTTTCTTTATTACTATTATTATCATCATTATTATTTTTTATACTAATAAATATAATTTAATCTAGTTGCAATATATCTTATGTTCTTTGGAATTGGGGTAAATATTCTTATTCATGTTGTTGTTCTATTACAAATATAATAATAATATTTATAATCATATACACATATTAGCAACTTGGATGGGCATCATATTCAGATATATTTAAGACTAGGCGTAAGATGTTTTTGGGTTCTTTTTTAGTATATTTAATTGCAAGCATAATCTCTGCTGTTTCCAATAGCATTTGGTTATTATGTTTAATGCGAGTATTTCAAGCTTTGGGTACTTCAGCTGATCAATGTGTTGGAGCTGGCATCATCAGTGATATTTTTATTCCAACTGGTCATTATTATTTTATTTAATAATAACAATAATAACACTAATTGATTTTTTATATTTATCAAAGTCATTGATTTCCAGCTTTTTATTTTTATTTTTATTTTTTTTTTCAGAAAGAGGAACTGGGTATGGATTTTTTTATTCAGGTTATATAGTTGGGCAAATAACTGGTCCAGTAGTGGGAGGTTTTGTGACTGAATATCTTGGTTGGCATGACCATTGTATATAATAAAAGTTTGATAATAAATAAAATATTCTCTAAAAAACTTACTATGACCTTGTTTTGATTGCAATATAAAAATTGTTAGATTCCTTGATAAATCATAATAATAATTGTAGACCATTAAGTAAAAAGCTTGGATATTACAAAGGAAATAAAATTATAGTCTTTTGTAAATACAATTAATAATATATCCAAAACGTCATTGAACTGACTTTTAACTGGTCTTTTAACTTGTTTAATGGTTCAGATACCACATTTAAAGACTTGCCAGACTAGTACAACCCTACATTAAGGATTTTTTGTCATATAAATAAATCCTTAATGTAAATAGGTGAGGAAGGTATTTGCTTCCAAGAAATTTTTGTTGTATGGTAGTTACAAATTTACAATTTAGAGTTATAAACTCTACATCCGGTAGTAGATTTCTCCCCCCAAAAATGGCAACAGGATATAATTCATGGTTGATGGATTTACTAGTGATGCAATCCGCAAATATCTGCCATCCATTCATCCATCATTTACCTCTAAAAATTAATCCATCATCCAGCAATTTCTCAAAAAATACATCTGTCGGGTTGAGCAGATAATCCATAGAATCTGTAGAATTGAAACAGATGATTCAGATGATCCACAGATTGAATGTATAATCCAACAAATGATATTAGATTAGTAATTCATTTATATTTATTATGTTCAAATTGAAATTAACTCAGTGGACAAATAGATTTAACACAACTTGCATTTCTCTTTAAAAACAGCATTTATTTAAATAATTTCTAGATCTAGACATGATCTCTTCATCAGGAAATTTTTTCTGACACAAATTTGCGTAATATTATGGGGCCCGCCATAAACTTACGTAAATAGTGTAATATTATGCAAAATTACGCAAAAATTACGCAATTATTACATTCAGTGTAAATATTATGTCCTTTTTATGCGTAATATTACCACATTTCATATTAAAACTTACAGATGCAATGTTATGGTGGGAAAAGTTTCCTGATGTTAGCAGTTAATAAATTCACTGCATGACTGAATGATCTTTCACTTGGTGTTAAAGTTGCTCAGACAGAAAGGTATTGGCGAGCAAATTTTGCAAGAAGAGAGTAATTGGGTTTTTTATAATTCCACTAATCAAAAGGACAGAATTAAATTCAATCCCACCTTCTTTTAAATATCCACTTACTTCATCTGAAGATAGATTTTGACTTGATGTATTAAAAAGTGTAAATGTTCCAACTAGATGAAAATGATGAAAATAAAAATGATTATTTTAACATTACAAAATACATAATGTTTACAACATTTTAAAAAGGCTATCCATCAATCCGAATATGAATGAATTTTTTTATGGATATCATCCAAGGAACACATCTTTAGCATTTACTAAAAAAGGACAATTGGTCTTTTTAGAACTTGTATCCTTCATAGATGTTGAACTATAGGTACCTACATGCCACATAAATATGACAACACTTTAAGATTAATAAATTTTATATTTAGGCTGAAATGAGAAATTGTGAAGGTTATAAATTTTAAGTAAATTTTTCATGCAGAAGTAAAGAACCTGTTTTATAATTTAAATTTTCATTAATAGAAACAATATCTAACACAAATTTTAGACTAAAAATTACAATATAAATGTTTTCTCAATGGAAGAGAGGAGAGCATATGATAGAATGTCTGACACAGAAAGTAATAATCAATTCTAATTAAACATTGAAATAATGGTCCAACAATTACAAACTTAGCATAGACTGTTGTCTATTTATTTTTCACTGGTAGAAAGCATTTAATAACAAAGATTTCGTGATTGTAAAACTATTCATGTTAAACATTGATGAAAATTTTCCTATGCTTTGAAAAAAACCAAGACAGGTGGTGGAACCTTGAGCAATTAATAGATCAGTTAGATAAAATTAATATTTTTGGCCACACTTTTTACTTTTTGATCTATTTAGATTGTCAATCGTGCAGTTCCTATTTTTTGAATTGACACACCCAGAAAGGGTTGCTGTATTTGCATTTGATTCATGCCATACAAAAAGGTAGCATTAATGAAAATTATTTTAATTAATTTTCAACAATTTTTAATTCGTAATCCTTTTAAGGAAACATGATCATTTCCATAAAATGTGAAAGGCAGATCATTAACATTCTCGTAGAAAAAAATTATAAAAAATGAAAAGGAGAAATTATTATGTAATGTAATCATAATCACAATTATAATTAATATTATTTCCTTAATAGGCAAATGATCACAGATATTGTCTCTTTAATGCTTGATCGCCTAAATTTCCATGTTTTTCATCAATTTTTATATAACGTTCTTCCACGTTCCTTGCTTGTATGAACACAATGGTGGAGAAGAAGGCAAATAAGTCGATTATCATGAAGCCAAATAAAGTTGTGAATAGTTGACGTGCTGATTTGTCAGCTTTCTGTGTTATACTATCAACACAACCAACTTTACTTTTAATAACCAACTTATTTGGACATGCAGTTGAAACCACCGCTAAATTTGTTGAATTAAAATATCCACAACAATCTGACTAATTAAAAAATATTCATTTATTTATTAATAAATAAACTTTAATAATTACAAATGTATGCATGTATCTAATGCAGTATAAAGTACCTCATCTTGGAAAAAAGCTCGTGTATTTGGATCCCAACTTCTCCATTTGTCGTCAAAATGTTTTCTTTCATCCAAAGTTTTAAACCAAACATTTGCACCCATTGCCAATAGGGCAAAAATGGATAGAACAATTAAAAATATATGTGCGTATAAAAATCGTTTACGTTTTAATGGATTAAAGAAACCAACGCTAGCAGTAAAAAATGAAATTATAATAAGACCTCCAACACAAAATGCAGCTATAATAATTAATTTAATAATGATAATAAATATGATGATGTTGTTATTGTTATTAAAATGTACAAAAAAATTTTTTTCCTTTACCTATGAGTAAATTTTTCGTTATTACAAGACTACGTATACTTGTTCCAACTGTGTTAAACCATAGAGCACCAAGTATAATGATAATAAGACCCTTTAAAAAATATAATGATTCTATCACGGCGAAAGAGGTTAAAATTGGTTTGCTGATAGCCCTGTATGGTTCACCTCCAATAATCATCATTTTACGTTATAAGATTTTTTACAAAATATCAAATAACTATATGGGTGATGTGGAATGCGAGTGTGAAATGGCAAACGTTTGTGTTTAATAGATGAAATGAATGTTAATGTGAAAATAATGAAAATGTTAAAAGAAAGTACAATATATATAAAAAAAAAAGGATCTTTGATGACCAACAACATGATTAAATCTAATTAAAAAAGGAAAGATTTCTTTGAAAGAATAAAGAGAAAAAAATAAATAATTGATTGACCAAAAAAGGAAAAACATAAAGTATTAAATATACTAATACTTACTGTATTAGTATTATTGTTTCCCTATTCCTTGTTACACGATCAAAATCAATAATATTTGAACTGTCATAATACATAAACTCTATCCCAAAAGTTAATGCCATTTATACGCATTTTTACCACAGCAGTGTGTAAATTTATTCTTATCATTTCTATCTGGCTAAAGAAAAGTTGTCACCTTCTTTTAAAAAATTATAATTATTTTCTCCCTCTTTTTTTTCATTGTATATATCAGTCTATAAGGGGGGTTATTACATCCAGGCATATGAGATTTTTTGGTTTTGGCATGGTTATAGATACGATTAGGATTTTTGTTTTGACCCCTTGCTTTATTATTATTATTATTATTATTATTATTAATTAATTAAAAATTTCTCGTTTCAACGGAATTTACATTTAAATCGCGCTTCAATAGACAACGAATTATTTTAGTAATAAATATTAACCGCGTTACAACGGATTCACACGATATACAGATCCCAAAAATTAAACCCACATTATTAAATAATATCAATCATATTTCTAAATGATGATTTTACACCAATAATTCTTCAAATAAGATTATCTAAAAAACAACCTTACATTAAAGATTCAACTCTTTTCTAAATGCATATATAAAGGTGAAATTTTCTTTATTGAATTTTTTAAAATTGATAATAAATAAATATCTTCTAACAATTGATAATTTCTTTGATTTCTACAAAATTATAAAATGTCTCAACAACTATCTTCTTCTTCCAAAAAACGTATATATATTACCGTTGAACAAAAACGCGAATTATATTTATTGAAACAAACTAAACCTCGATCGAAGAATATTGAATGAGCACAAAAATATAACATTAGCAAAGCCAAGTTAGTAATATATTGAAAGAGTCTAATAGATGACTTGAGATTCTTATCAAGCAAATTATTTTTTTATTATTCCTGTTGATCGATCATTATCTCGTTTCAACGGATCTAGGTGGCCAGTCCCTTATATCCGTTAAAACGAGGTTTGGCTGTAAATGGATTAGGTTCATGATTTTTATTTTGAATTTGTTGTACGTGAAAAATGAAATCTGTGTGAATTTGCAATTCACACATATATGAAATTCAAATCAGCCAATCAGAATTTCATATTCAAACACCCCACCCCAAAAATTTAATTATTATAGATTTCAATTTCATAGTGAAATTTGTATTACCTCTCTAAATTGGAGATCAAGTCCAGTTCCAGTTTATCACTTACTTTTTATTGCCAAAATGTTTGCCGTGTACTGTAAAGTTGCATTGCACAATATAAAAAATTAATGTAACATTTCAATGCTTATATACATAGTTTCAATTTCACATACAACATATTTAAAGATTTTAAAACATTTATATATACATGTGAATTAAAAACGAATAGTTATCGTATTAAATAATTTTCCTTGTACACAGGGTGCGAAATGTGTGATCAAAAATATCGGGGGAATGCCCGGTTTGGGAAAATTTTATCGGAAATCTTAAAAAAGTATCAGACCAAAAAAATTTTCTTAAAGTAGTGGTATGAATTCTATTCGAATAAGGTTTATTCGAATTACATTGAAAGTTTGAATAAAACGATTTGAATAAAATAATACATTCATATTGTTAATCCAATTGAAATATTTTTTCTTTGACAATCTATTTTCCTTCATAGTCCTTGTATATTGTGGTAATAATAATTATTATCGGGCAAACAGCACTATTAGGCTATTTTTGGTTGCTTTGTTATTTTAGGTACAAAACAACGTCAATATGATTGATATACTATTTATACAACATTTATATAAGATATAATTATTGTAATTTTACAATCCCTTAATAATAACAACTATAACAATATAGAATTTGTTGCATCAAGTTGTGAATTAATATTTGGGGCATGCTGCAACAAAACCAGACAAAGTGAACATTGGTATTACTAAGAATTTCAGGGATTCATATTGTTTGTTAACATCATGATTGTATTGCAATGTAATGTGATTATGATGATATTTTTCTAGATAAAAACAGTTAATATGAAACTCATTTATATCAGGTCTACTATGGAACCCAAGAATTATAGCACCATTAGAAGTATTTTGAAGAAGGAACAAGGCGAAAAAATTGCTCCTTACATTTTCAAAATAAATGATACTCAGATGCTTGAAGCTTATCTAAGAAAAGAAAAGATTACCTATGAAATTTACCAAGAAAGAAAAATAATAATGTTGGAAAAAGGAAGCATCCTGATGATGCATTGTTACCTAATAAAAAGCAAAAATCTTTAAAAGGAAAATAATACCACTTTCTTTAATAGTTGGAATTATACAGAGGGAAATTTCCTCAATTACTTTTTTATTTTCAATCAAGATCATCTTTTAGTCTCTTTGACCTCAATTTGAGCAGTTAATTGACCATTTTGTTGATCTTTTAATTTCCTGTTTTCTTCTTCTAGATGATTAATTTTTTCTTCTAAACTCTTTATCTTATCCAATAACTCTTGTTTTTGCTTTTTACTTCACTCTTCTGATTTTTCCTGAAACTTGGCTACTTCTCTTTCAATTTTTAATTATTCTTTGGTAATTGATAACTCTTTTTCTAGTTCTCTAGTTTTATTTTCTAGGCGAAAACTGAAAGTTTGTGAAAGTAATTCTTTGTCAGAAAGTGGTTTAGTTGATTTAGCTTTTAAATGACTACAAAAACATCTGTTTCTATTCCTTTTTAACCTACCACATTTCTCACATCATGGAAGAGTATTATTATTGTAATCTTTTTTACATTCACTGCAAATAAAAACTATATCAGAGTAACCATCAGGAGTATTATGAGCCACCATTTGATGAGTAGTAAGAGCAGTATCGAAATTAAGGAGAGTTGGGTCATCAAAATCTAGAAACAGAAGTTACACTCTTGTTCATTCCCTTGGACTATTTCCAGAATTCTATATTCTAATCTCATATTGGCTTACTTGTTCTTTTGAACAATAAAAGTCTGGAACCTCTCTTTAGTTTTTTCTTTACTAATTTTTTGAGTTTGCATAATCTATTCTCTTTTTGTTTCTTTGGTAAAGATGGTAATTCTTTGGTTGCTAAATAATCTTTCCAGCTTATTTCCTGATTTTTAGCAGCTAAATTATCTTCTAATAAATCTATTCGGTCTTGAAGTTTACCCATTGCAGCATCATGCTTCAACAAAGTTTCAAACATTTGTCATTTTCTCCATTCCATGGCTTTATTTAGTGCTTTTTCAGCCTCTTCTTGCTCCATCCATACTTCATCATCTAACTCTTCTACTCTTGCTTCCAATTCCTTCTTTTTTGCTTCCAACTCTGCTAAGGATACCGGCTGCAACTTTTGATGATGGTTGCTACCACCTTTGCGTCATATAAAAATGATTGTAACCACTGGTTGCAACCACCTTTACGACCATTTTGTTTCCTTTTTTGGATTGCGACATGGAACACTAAACTCTGCTATCTTTTCTTCATAATCTCTCTTTTGCTGATTTAATTGACTATTTAAATTACATATTCTTGAAAAGCTTCCAGCATAATTATCTCCTAAATCATTTGAATATTCAATAAAACCATCTAACATCTCTTCAATGGTGATGTTATCAAATCAAATTCTTTTACAATTCTTAGCTCATTCTCTAGTTTCATTTGGATCTACTGCCATTCTTAACTTTCCTTCATCTAATCATTTCTTATTTAATTTTTTGTATCATCATGTTTCTCTTGAAGCATTCATGCTAGCTTCTCCATTTTCATAATAGACTGACCAGTGACATGTCAGATTTTTAGTTTAAAGATTTTCTCCTTTATCTGCTAGTTGCTTCTTTAAATTGTCATTTTCTTCTAATAGTTGTTTATTTCTCTCTTGGAATTCATTTATTGTGTTTACCATGATTTTCTTTTTTTATTTTAATATAAATATACTTATATCCTTTTTATGAGGGCATATTAAGTATATAGATTATTTTAGTACTCTTTTACTTTAAAGGTGACAATATTTGTCAAAAAAATCAACCTTATTAAACTTAATGACAGTAAGGGGACAAATTAACAAGTGTTTTTATTCTAAATATTTTATTTGTTGCCAATATAGAATGGTCTTGGACAAGTAATATCTTTGAATTCATCTCTAACAAATGGACGAATATTCTGATAAAGATACTCTTGCCTTTCATGATCCAAAGGAGGTGGTGCTAACACTAAAATAGATAAAGTTCTAATTTCTTCAAAAATATCTGCTTTCTTGATTTTCAATAAATTGAATTCAATAAAAGGTCCATTAGCAACTTCTTGAACTTTCACTGTACCAAGGTTAGATGCTTCAAAATAAAGACTAGTGCCGTAATCCAAAAAAGGAAAAAGTATGGTTGCAAAAGTGGTTGCAAAGGTAATTGCAACCACTTTTTATATGCCGTAGATACAATTACTACCATCATCATAATTTATGGCACTAGTCTTTACTTCAAAAAGAAAATGTTGATATTTTTGTAGGCCATTTAATTTCTTAAAATAAATTCCCAAAATTGCTTTAATATCTAAGTATTGAAAACCTTTTCCACCTTCATAACACTGAACTTTATTCAAACCAGCTGGACTAGACTTTTTTACCACTGAAACCACATGATCAAGACAATCTACTCTTGTTATCCTATAGAGTTTTTTAATCATCCCAAAATTACCATCACATTTGAATTTAGTATGCCCAGGAATCATAAAATTCAATTCATTACTTTCATAATAACCACAAATTACTAAACATCTGGAAAATATAAAAAAATTTTACACATGTCAATTGTAAGTTTAATAATAAAAAAGTGTAAAACTTATGTCGGCACTGT